TTTTTAAAAAAATTTAAAATTAATATTTACATTTTTATTTTAGCAAAATCAATTCTATTAAAAAAAATTAGTTTATTTATCCAATTTTATTGTTTTTATATTAATTTTTTATTTCAATTAAATTTTCATTATATACAAAATAACGAAATGATGTTTAAATTAATTTTCAATTAAACTGATTAAACTAACAAGTCTGATTTGATTTTTAAAATAATAATTTTAATAAATTTAAAACTTATTAATATTATTTTTAAAACAATTTAAAAAAAATAATCGTTAAATATTTACAAAATTATAATTTTATTTTTATAATATGTATATATATATATATTATACACTACTAAAAATTCTCATTTTTCATGGGAATATTTTTGCAAAATTTTGATAAAAATTGCAAGAAATAAGTTTTCTATAAATTTAAACAATTTTTTGCAAGAAAATTTGCAGAAAAAAACTAGTTTTCTAGTAGTGATAATTTATATATTAAATTATTATATTTAAAACTTTTTATTAATATAATTTTAATTTTAAAAATATATTTATTATTTTTATTTTATTTAAATATTTTTTAGATTAATTACTTTATTATGGTCACATTAATATTTTTTATTTTTAGTTATTAGTTTGATTAAGTAATTAATTTCTTTCACTTAACTTATAAAATTATAACTCTATTCATATATATATATATATATATATATATATATATATATATATATATAATTATTATTTAAAAAGTTAGGGTTATCTAGATACATCTGAAGTGTAATTAATGTATATCCAATTCGAATAGGACAATTGTTTTGACGTACTAGTGCTTCTTAGCACTTCAACAATTACAAGCACATAGATTCTCATTTATTTTAGGCTTAGTTAAACTGATTTTTCAATAGATAATCAAACATATATATATATATATATATATATATATATATATATATATATATATATATATATATATAACTTAGTATCATACGTATATTTAAACTATTTGATTAAAATAATTTTTTGTACCAGTTATAAATATAAAATATTATTTTACATTATATAAAGAGTTAGAAACTAATGCATTTTGACTTAAAATTGAAGTAACTTAACATTTATTGCTTACACAAAGGAAATTAATCCACGAGGAACCATCATTCTCACCCTCCCAATTCAATGATAAGGTTTTATTATTTTTTATCTACCATTTCAATTAATATATATAATCTCATAAACTCCATTTACATAAGCTTACATTACACATGCATATACACTAATAAAATCTAATTTAATTAGTTTAACCATGAATTGTTATTAAGTGCTTCATCATTCTTGTTTAATTCCTGTGAAAACTTCTTATATTCTTTCTTCACACACTTCATGAAGTTATTCAATAATATTTACCTTCATAAGTTTCTTTTACTATTGTTGATATGATTTTAATGTAATTATTATAGAAATAACACATTTTTATGGGTAGCTTATAATCAAATTACAGTGTACATATCTTATATTTTATTATAATCTATGTTTTTTATATTTATTTTATTGATATACTCAATAGATGAATTTTAAATTAGTTATTATAAAAGTCAATACTTAATAATAATGTGCAGGTAATAATACGATATATTTGTATAAATTTTTTATATTATAAAATAATTATATATATGTAACAATTAAAATAATAATTAATGATAAGATGATAATGAAAAAAAAAACTTAAATATGTGAAATATTCACCAGAGATAACTTTATCTTCCTTATCATTCAATCTGATAGAATGAGTAAAAAAAATATTATAAAAAATTATCAATATTTATATAAAAAATAGACAGACATAATATCGCGATAAAATTCACTATAAAAATAAATAAAACCCATTCTGATTCGCCAACTAACTTTTCTGTTTTCTCTGTCTGTTTTCAATATTTAATTAAATAAAAGAGCATTTATTATATAATATTTTTAAGCCACAGTTAATATAATTGTAAAATTATCAATTAATAAAAAAACTAGCCTGATTTCAAGGCAGTTGTTAATAAAAACTTAAAACAATGTATATTTGTGGTTAAAAACTTTCTAAATAAATACATTTATCATTTATTTATTATTTACTCTTAACAAATTTAATTTTAATTAATAAATATTTAGTTACTGCCTTTTTTGTTATTTACTCTTAACAAATTTAAGTTTTAATTAATAAATATTTAGTTGCTGCCTTTTTTTGTTAACTTTGTAAAAGATAGTGATTAAAGAAATTTTGTCTGCCTCAGCATTGGATCATTCACACACGTTTTGCACTCTTCCCTCTCCCTATATACTTTCTTTCTCTCTCAGACTCTGAAACTCTTTTTTTTTTTTAAGACTAGAGAAGAACAACACCATCAATAACAGCAACAACAGCAGAACAAGGTGCACCTATTGAATTCACTTGACAATTCTCTCTTTCTCTTTTTCAACCCCATCTTCCCTTTCCCTTACTCCTTTCTTCTTTCTAGATAAAGGAATTCGGGTAATCATTATCGAATTGAAACTATATATAATATATTGATTTTTTTTTTTTTTTATCATTGAGGTGATCGTCTTTATACCCAGAAGTTAAAAACATGGGTTATTGACATTTCGATTCGATTTTAATTTTTTGCTTGTGTTCTTTAGATTGTTGTTGTTCAACAAATTAATGTGATTTTTTATTTATCTTTGTTTCGAGCTAAGAATTTTTATTGAAAAGGTTTTGCTTGTTTTGTTTTATATTAAAAAGAAATTAACTATTTCTTTTGGTTCACGGTTTGGTTGTTGTGTTGAGCTGATTTTGAGCGCTGAAATAACGGGAAAGAGGGTATTTTATTTTTTATTTAATTTAATTTAACTTAAATTTATTTTTTTGGTGATTGTTGTGCGGTGAGAGACCCTCTTTTCCGGGATGAAATTATGGGCCATCTAGTTACAATTAAAGACAAAAAAACAGCTAACTTTTTTTGTTGTTGTTGAGGACTTTCATCTCAGGACTTAGTTTGTTAGTTCATTCTTCTATGATCAATTGATAAATGAAGTTACTTTGCAGTTTGCTTCGTGTTGTCTTCTGTTGATCATCTTCTAATATGTATTTCTTCTTCTTTTCGTTTTTTTCCCTGTTTTGAATTGTTTTAGCTGAATATTATTTTTAATGATTGAGGTTTTGGGGTTCCTTGAGAGTACTGGCACCCCAATTGAATGGTGTAATCAGATTATAATGATGATAACGTGCGTTAATATGGGTATGGTTTGATTGTGCAATCAATCTGTGTGTACTTATTGGTAGAGTTTGTCACATGAACAAAAGGGAATGGAACGGTCTTTTATGTTCTTAGTTCACCCTTTAGTAAAACCAAAACTGACCATGTTTTTAACCTTATATCCTGTTTTGTTAATTTTCTAAAATACCCAAACATGAAATAAAACCTATTATGTTGAATTTGTTTCGTTCTAAGGTGTTTATCTAACATTATCAATTTGAGATTGAATCGTATCCTGTTGGTTCAGAGAAGTTAGACAAGGAGCTCCCTGTCTTTTTGTATTATATATAGAACAGAGTATTGGTAGTTTTTCCTTGGAGATTAGAGAAACTGTGTTGATACACAAGCACACTATCTTGGTTGTATATACTAGTACATACAAAGCCATTGAAGTGACTCTTCCAGTAGCCAAACTATACATATCATTGTAGATTTGTGGTAGAAGCCCTAGAACATGTTTTCATGGTTTGTACCAGGCTGCTTGGAAGATTCAATAACTCAATTTAGCTTCTTGCTAGAAGTATTGATCTTTTAATTCTTGTTGCTGATTTTCTTAAAGTTTTTATCATTTGAGTTTAGAGTGTTTTACTAATCATTTACAATTAACTGCATGTATTCTCTTGTACTTTTCTCATTTTTTTACACCCTAAAATTTTTCTAATTTGACTGTTTTCTAACCTTTCTATAAGAATAACTTATTAAATGTGATTTGGTAGCTCAAATTCCCAAAGTATGTGTCTGACTGAGCATGCAAAATCTTATATAACTGGCTTATCTCATTCTTGCTATATATTTTATCAATGAATCCCGTTAGGGTAAAAAAAACAGGCAGTGGATTTTTGTATCTACTTATAATTGAATAGAATAATTCAACAAGTAGCATTTTGCTTGAAATTGTTAGTCAAAGGATTTTTACATGCTATCTGTGATGGGTTGTTATTACCTCGTTTGTATAGTTTATTACAATTTACCAGGAAGGAACTGTTCCTTATCCATTACATGAGTATTTAAAAAATGATATTTCTTTTGTTGTTATGGACACTGATTATTTCCTTTCTTGGACAATCCAATTCATCTTTCCAATTTTTTTTTATCCCCTGTAAGTTGAGTTCCGATCATTTTGTATGCATGATGTGAGAGCTCTTTTCTGATGCAAATAATGAAGATTATAAAGAAGGAATATGAAAAATATGGTTTTATACATGACAGACAAGTTTGAAATGATATCTAGATGTGCAATTTAATTTATAAAGATTATTCAAAAGCATAAAACTTGGAAGTTCTGGAAGTGGGGCTGCTAGTCTTGGCAATCTATTATGTTGCAACTTATGTGACAGATTAGGGACAAAAGAAAATTCTGAAATATACTGTTATCTGTATTGAAGATAATGGACATTTTATGTGATAGATTAGGAACTAGTCTTAGTTCATTTCCTATAATAGACATGCCAAATTTTGGCCTGCCCTCCACATCCAGTGTTCCTTCTCAAATCATCTATACAGTTCCTATCATTATGCTAATAAATTGCTTTCATTGAGAAACATGTAAAACTATTTTCACATAGAATCTATATTCTGCTTGTGACAATCTTGAAAAATTGTATGTTATTTAAGCTTATATATTGTTATCCCCATTCTCATGATTTTCTTTAATCTGATGGCCCTATTTAGTTTTTGATTATCTAATTACTACTATGTCATGTCATTTGTTGCAGATTTGGTGGTAATAAGCAATTGATGGGTGAGTATTCTGGTAGTAGAGGTGTGAATGGGGTGGTAGTCCCTAGAAAGAGGATGAGCCATGCATTTAGAGATACCGCTAATACTAGAGAACGAACAGGTCAAATTTGCAGCAAATTGGGTTGCAGTAGTAGAGCTAATATTCCCGAAGTTGCCCAAGTCAGATCTTCTGAAAAAGGTAAATCTTTGAGGCCTTCATTCCAGTCCTCTTCAAGTAGAAAGGAAACAATTGGAAGTTTCCCTAGATCTACTAGTAACCCAGCAAAACGAATAATGGAACCTCGGAAAAAATTATCCTCTCAGTTTGAGATAGATTCATCTGAAACTAGTAGTGTACAGGATGAACCAGAATTGCCCGAGCTTATCTCTTCTTCAGTAGCAATTCTGAGAGGGCCTAAATCCAGAGGGGGGAGTTCAGAGTCTAGTAATGTGAGGCTGATGGAAGTAGGAAGCTCCAGTGCATTATCAAATACAAGATCTCAAAGTAATTTGAACCAAAGACCTGGATTGCGTGGACAAGAAACTAAAAGCACTGGTTCAGTGAGACATGCTGTTGCAAGCAAGTATGGAGTGAGGAACATCAGATGCAACAGTATATCTGATGTCATCCCGGCTGCATCAAAAGATTCAAGCCTTAATAGAAGGAAGGATACATCGAAAAAGAGAAACTGTGAAGGGGAAAGTAGTTCCACTGTTCGAGGGAAAATTACCATTGGGTCTTCACTGGAAGGACGGAATTCTGCCTCCAGAAATGGCATATCTATATCTGATTCAAGAAGATCAAGAAATACACCTCACCGGAATACCAGTATGGCACCAGTAAGAACTCAAAGATCAGTTAGTGGTCATGTCAGGGGAAGGTTTTCTAGCCAAGGAAAGGATAACCCTTTGGCAACCAGTGGTGATGGCATTTCATATCGGACATCAGTGGACACTCCTTTAAGTTGCTCAAGCTCTTATGATACATCAGGCAATAGCAGTGAGCAGTTATCTGGTGTCACACCTCTCTCTCCTGCAGAAGAGGACATTACTCATTCTCCAATAAATCGGTATAGCTTTCGACATATAAATATGGGCAGTATTGAAGAGGTAATTTTTTGGTTTGAACATGAGAGCACATATTTTAATATTTTGACGAGAGCTCTTGAAAATAAAGTACTATATTTTATTGTATGTAGGTATTATTGGCACTTGAGAGGTTTGAACAAGATGCAGATCTAACCCATGAGGTAATTCTGACTAAAAGTTAACTCAACTTAGCTGGGTAGTTATCTAACAAGTTTCATCTTGTGTCTTTGCAGCAAATTCTTTTGTTCGAGACTGACATTTTCAATAATGGATTGAATTTTTATGATCATCACAGAGACATGCGGTTGGATATTGATGACATGTCCTATGAGGTATTTTAATGTCATGGGCTCTTCATATCAGTTTCTTATTTCTTGTCTTTGCATCAAATTCAGAATGGTTTGTGCTTTGTGGGCTGTATGGTGCAACAGTTTTGGATAAAAATGTTCTTAAGAATGCATGTTCCTAAACGTAATATTGGTGCTTAAAACCTTGGTCTAATTGATGTTTATAGGTAAGAATGTTAAGGGGGAGGTTGGAAATGTAACTGTATCGAGGGAGATGGCTTTGAGAAGAGATGCTATCCTTAAGGATGTAGCACCACCCACCCTTGGGATTAAAAATGTATAATTTTTCTTTTTATATTTTATCAATTATCAATTCTTAGCTCCCAAAGTTTCTGATTGTTGACAGGAACTCTTAGCTCTTGAAGAGAGGATGGGAACTGTGAGCACAGCTCTATCGGAGGAAGCACTTGCAGAATCTCTTCAAAGAAGTATATATCAGTCTGAACCTACAAATGATACAGTTGAGGTTACGGATGACATCAAATGCTGCATTTGCCAGGTATTTTCTTATAACATGTATCTTAACTTTAGCAAGGAGGATGATGCTTACATGGAAAATGGCTGTCATTATGCATCATCATGGTCTAAATCCAGGCTTGTGTTACTAGGATGCAACTTGACAAATTGTAATTGATATCCGCATATATAGTTTCTAGCGGAACTAAATTGTCTGTTGATGGAGGGACTGTCATGTTTAGTATCAAACTAAGAGTTTTCTAAAAATATTTGAACTATCCTAGTTATGAGAAGTCTCCAACATTTCCACAAATAGATGGAATCTAAGACTTGACACTAATGCTTTTAGACTCGTAATAAACCTTCAAATTATCACAAATGTCATTCCTGCAAATCAAATCCGTTACTTGAATGTAAAATAACAATTATCTAATATCTTACCTTTTTATCATTTTCATATATATACATATTTTATTGATTTGGATACATTGTATGCAGGAGGAATATGTTATTGGAGATGAAATTGGGGATCTGCCGTGCAAGCATAGATTTCATGTGACTTGCATACAGCAGTGGCTGGGGCTGAAGAACTGGTGCCCTGTTTGTAAATTATCTGCGGCACTGTCGAATAATTCATCTTCACCTCATTGATTGGATTCTTCCTTTTACTTTTCATTTTGTACAAAAATACAGCTACAGATTTCTTCAACTCTTCTCATTTATCATATTTACGTAGCCATCCGTAAACTAATAACCTAAGCCCAGATTCATGGACTTTCGAACTTCTTGCGGATGAAAATTCTCCCTTCTTAACTATCTTTTCCTTCCTCCTTGTTAAAATAACTACTTCATCATGTTTTTTAGTCTCATGTTAAGTGCTGGGTTTCTTTTTCTTCGGTTTTGGAAATTGGGTAAATTTTTTAGTTCCTGAATTTTTGTCCTCAATTTGAAATTATTGATATTTTTGTCTTTAGTGTTCATTTCAAAATAAACTAAAAGGATGAAAAAGGATTGAATGAACAAGCATTCATACCAAGATATTATCTTGTATCACGATCACTGGTTTTGTTAGGTTGGGGAAGTAATCAATAATTTGTTTGGATGAATGATTGGGAACATAATTTAGATATTTTGATTCGGAAAATTGTTTTGACAAAGTAAACTATGCTAGGAAATCTTCATTTCAAAACTGTTACTGATTTTATGATAAATTGCATTTTTTATCTTATCACAGTTGTTGACACAAAGTATGTGCTTATTTCTCTGGAAACTATCATTGTTTATTCCTGGAAAAGAAGTTAATTAGCAGCAAGTCTTTCGCCCATCATGGAATATTATCCATCCATGTCTCCAGTCAGAGTCCAGGTCATCTCAAGTTCATTCTTAAATTAAAAGAAGTTAAATAATATATTATTAATAAATAATAAATAAATATAAAAAATATAAAATATAAAAAATTAAATTTATAAATATACAAATAAATATATTTAATACTCATTAATTTTAAAAATCAAAATTATAAATATTAATATAAATTACAAAATATCTATTCGTGTAAGTTAAAACATCTATTAGTCACAGTCCATCCTTTTTAAAAATAAAAAATTATTTTTCACCTCAATCTTTATTTTTTTAATAATCTATTCTAAAATAATAACGGATGGTAAAAATGAAGGATAAGTATTTAATTATTTCTCTCTTTATATATGTTTTTTTTATGTCATTAATATTTAAACAATATAATGACTTTATTCCTTTTTTTTTTTCATTTTACATTGAAACAAAAATGTCAGTAAAATAAGGTTTGTGTAGTAACTTGTCCTAACATAACTATTTATGAAACACTATTTTTACATATTTACAAATTAATTAGATATTCACTAAATAATTTATTTATGAAACACTAGTTTGTAATTTATGAATGAATTAACTATTCATTAAAACATTTATTGTATGTTTTCCAACCTAAAATGGTGTTTACAATTTACTAGGTTAAGCAAGAAGTGTCAAATGATCAACTTGGTTCAGCCTAACAAGCAAAATAGTAAAATGATTGACTCAATTTATATTTCAAAGTTAAATTCATAGACCTAATTCTACCGGGTCTTTATTTAGTCTGCTTAAAAAGAAAATGAAAAATAGTAATTTAAAATTAAAAATTAAAATGTGTATAGTTATAAAAATTAAAGCATATTAATGACAAAAAAAAATTCTAGAGATAGTGATTTAATATATAAAGTATGGTTTCATATATCTCAATAATTTAGATATTAATTTATTTAAAAAATTATACATAATTATTACTTTTAAAAATCAGTCATCTCATAAATTCAAAATCTAGCATAAACTCATTTGGCCTGAACAAAAGATAGTTCGATTCAATATTTAAGTTACAATCATTTTAGTCTAAGTTTTATAGATTTTTCTAGCCTACACATAGGACCTCTAGGTTGAGCACAATTAGTAAATAAGAAGATTTTTTCATGTATATGAAAATCATTTGTTGAGAAATTCTATTTGGTGATCTTTGACATGAACTAATAATTAATTCATCATGAATATGCCTTCAAAGATTCCCCTGGCTACTTAGAACCTCCAAAACTTTGATGTGCTTGCAGAAGAATGCCACGATGATGGAAAGCACAAAAGCTACTCACATGGCTTTAGGAAGTTACATCAAGCAATACTGACAAAATGCAATCTTAATATTCTTAGTAATAAGCATGAAATTAATTAGTATCCATATATAAAATAAACACAAATCTTTAATATTTGGTTCATATGGCACTCTGTTGCCTACAAGCATTGTACATAGCAGTTCTCACCATGCAATACAAGAACAGACAACAATTTAATATTTCCTTTGGACTTCTCTTATTGACAATACACAGGAAATTTGATGGAACAACAATCAGAACAGAACACCAGTTAAAAGTTAACTAGCAAGGATCAAAACCTGATGTAAGACCAACAAAATTGAAGGGCGTTTTTTAATTACATATGTTTTTTGTCCATATAATTAGAAAAGAAAACCACCTTACTTAATCAATTTTCTTCTTTCAAAATTTTGCTATTATATGTTGAAAATGTTACCATGAAAACAAATTGGCATGAAAATAAACCAAACAGTGTCTTAGAGATTCAGATAATTTTCAATATGTGATCTTACTGGAAGCACAAAATGCTTGCCAAAAGCATATTGTTTTCAGTGATCAAATACAGATAAGCAGTGTTGAATCCACTCAACATTCACAAGAAAATACGTTTAACTCCACAAAGGCTTTTGCATTCTACATCTCAAACATGTTGATCTTTCACCAGCCTGTAAACCTGAACATATATTACAACTTTATTTTCTCTGCATTTCTCACAGTTGCTTGCTGAAATAATTGTAGAAAACCAAGGACAAACGGGAAAATCATGATTTAAAAATCAAAACATCGTAACAAACAGACATTTTGTCTGAAAGAACCTGATGGTTGGTTACCAGATCATTTCTTTGCATAATTTACAAAAGAAAATGGTTGAGATTCAAAATATTAACAATCTTCCTGTACCCCCAGTCCATCCATTAGTAGAATACACAACAAGCTTTTTGCAGGTAACCTGTTTCGATCTGTCTGACATTTAACAAGTAACTTGCTAACTAAGCAAATTCACCATGTTCTCTGAAAAACTGTTTAAAATATATTCAGTTGTGATAGTTGTCACTGAGCAGGGGCTACATGTGAGTACAGAATTTTCCAATAAGCCCAGGGAATTGAGTATATGTATATAGGCATCCAAGGTTCCCCCAAGTTGTTCTATCAAAATTTAATTCACTTCAGGCTTTTAATTCTGAAACTAGGACATACCAGAAGTCATAAAACTACTCAAATCTCAAACAGAAAAAAAATCTCAATATAATCCATATAAAAGACTCTGAAGATATTAAATGGATGTCCAAATTTGAAAGTCTAACATATGATTAGAAATTCATTTATTGTCACCAAAATTAATTAGAACTAAAGGTGATGCGAGCTATAGATCCATATGATGAATAAAATAGAAAAACAAAAATTACTACAAGAAATGATAAAATTTGGAGTCATGGAGTTCATACGTAAACTTGAAATAAAAGGAAATTTTAATTGACTTGTTATTAATATTGAATTTCAATCAATCCTCATATTCTAAAAATACATACAGAGCAACCCTTCGGTTCTTATACATGTATTAGTTCCTTGATCCCAGCTACGCAACAGTGTCCCTGCAAAACTTTCTCAGTCTTCTTTGTCATTGGCTGCAAAGCAAGCAAAAGCTTTGAGATCTCTATCAATGACAAACACAGCCAACACCAATGCTAATCATACAACAGTGCAACCAATCCTGGGCTTCATTTGATATTGCCCTTGGTTGCAGATAAATGAATCTGTGAACCATCCTAGCCCTGCATAATCGCAGAGATAAGACATTTTGAAGCCCAAAATCAGTATTTGATCCTGGAAGAACTAAATGTTCTCCATTTGGGGGTTCGTCTGGTTCATCCTGGCAATAGGAACAGAGCTAGTGTGTCGATGATCACCAACCATGACTTAGCCATCTGAACCAGAAGAAGCAAGTCCAACCTTTGCTTAAAACATTGTCAAAGATATGTTATTCCTCAAATGATTGCATAGAAATTTTCTCCAATTGTACTGGCCAATCTTTTCCAAGTAGCTGTGGATTTAGCTCCATAGCAACTTTAAAATCATGTAAAGATACCGGGTGCGGTGGTCTGCATCCAAGCTCAGGTTCCACCAACCCACTGGCACTCTGCACCTGTAAATGGTTATTTGGCCAGAAACCGTTGATGACCTTCCCCTGAATCTGCTGTTTCGAGACAGGGAGCTTGCTCTGCTCATTTGCGGACCTACCTCCCCCTAAATCAACACAAGATCTGATCATCCTTTTCAAGTAAACATCTAACATACTATTCAACGTATTTGCACATTCCACAGAAACACTCCCAAGACCCTGTACTGTGGCAATCTGCTCCATGCGCCTTCTCAAAGAATCTGTATCAGATAACCTACCACTGTCACAACAACTAGCAACATTACTAGTGCTATTCACTGGCAATGTTTTCCGGGCCACACTAACACTGGTGATGCCGTAGGGAATCCCAAGTGGTGCTACCAAGGGACTTCTAGAGAAATTGAGGCGGTTTAACTGCTCCACCTCTTCTCCATCTTCAACAATTGAAACATCTCTTGGTCCTTTGCCATGTATTCTTGGTTTCTGGGAAGGTCTCCGAATAGCATCCCCGATCCCATTCTCAGGTAGCTCATCGACTGCCTGAAGATGCTGCGTTGGTCTTTGATAATCGCATGGAGTAAGAATTCCATTCTCCATATCAACCTTACTACCGCTGTCTTCTGTAGCTGTGGATTGGTGAGCAACAGAATCAACTTTTCCATTTGGTCCAAGAGGGCTCGGCCTATCTTTAAGCCTTCTATCACGCACTCCAGACCTTAATTTACGTGGCGAAATCGGTAAAACCCCATTGGACCAAATGGAAGCATTCTGATTTTGGAAGTTAGCAACACTCTGTTCGTGCCCATCCTCTCTACCAGGAGATGCATGATTGACAAGTGTTCCTGATTTTGAATGAGGATCTGTCACTTGCTGGACTGGCGGTGGGGTCTTGGCTTGGCAGGCATTCTTCAAAATTGACTTTATAAAGTGATTGTGTAACGGAAGATTCTCTCTGCCAAGTACCCGATAACATGACCTATCAAATTCAGTCTTGCTCAGCTTCTGACTCAGAAACCTGTTCAAGTAATAAAAGTACTGCTTCGACTTCTCTGCCCCAATCCTCTTCACAATCTGCGCTTTTAATTGGACCAAATTGATTCTTGAGCTCAGCTGGGGTTGCATTTCTCAATCAACAGAATCATACACTGCCCACCAAATTAAAATACAATGCCCAGCCTCAATTTGACCCAAATCACAGCAGCCACTTCCGCTTCCAAAGAACCCCAAACTTCCCCTCCCCCATATCATTCAACCCCAAATCAACTATCACAAACTCTTCAAATTACAACAACCAAACTCAGCACAAACCATCCTAACAACATTAACCCAGCGAAAGCAACACTTTTAAACCCAATTACCTTTACCTTTTGTCCAAATTCCACAAACTACAAAACCACACAATGCACATACAGGCAAATCTCAACTCCCCAACACTCAAAACCCTAGAGATCAAACAGTAACGAAACACACTAAAACCAAACTCAATTCAAGAAATTGAATGGCAAATCAAAACCCTAAGTTTGAACCACCGTGTAGCGAACCTTACCATACCACCCCACTTGCACCAATCTGGAAAATCCTCATTGCATCCCGAAATTGGCAACACCGCACGAAGTTGGAGTCCCCAAGAGATCACTGAATTGAACAAAATTAGAGAAAGAAAAATAAAAAGTAATACTAATAAACTAATAAATAACAAAAAGTTGGGTCAAATTTTTTAAATTGCAATGGAAAAAAAGATGAACAAGAAGTGCAAAAAGTTAAGGTTTGGAGGTTTATTCAAGAAAAAAAAAGTGGGGTTTAAAGCATTGATTAAGCTCTGACCTCAACATAGGTGGCGAATTTGCATGGAAATCTGGAACCTTATTGCTACTTTTGAATCTTGGAAACTTGGTTATTGCTATGTCTCCTTTTTCCTTTTCTTGCTTCTTTTTTGGTGATTTATATATTGAATATATTAAACTTTGCTCTCTGTGTGTGTTAAAGCTCGATCCTGGTAGCAGTGTTTCTCTTCTTCATCTCTTTTGCTTGTTGTTTTTCTTTTTATTTAATTTTTTCACTTTTCTTTTCTCTCTTTCACTATTTTTTAAAACTTTTTTTTTCTCTGTTTCTAATTTAGTTATTATGGATTCCATTATAATGATTTTTTGTTTTGAGATCTCTGAAAATTTGTTTCTATTTTTGTTATGTGTTGTGGAAAGGAGATGTTTTTTACTTGTGATTGATAGGATTTACTTTTAATAATTTGGGGAAGAAATAAAATACGTTTGACATTATTCTGTGAGTGAATTAAAATATAAGATTTGATTTGTGTTTAATTAAGATTATATAATTATAATGATGTTTTCTCTTTTTAAAGAATTATAGTAATATTTTTATAATTAAACTATTTAATGATATGATTATATAACAAAAAAATCTGATAATAAATTACAATTAGGCTACATTTTATTTTTCATAATATATTTTGTGTTTACTATATACATTTAATAAAGATAAATAAACTGAAAATATACAAATCCAAATATATTAATCCCATTTTTATGTGTAATGAATTACATGATATAAAATTAGCTAATATTTCTTTCTTACATTTTCTTTTTGTTTTTTTATTCTATATATATTTAAATTCAATAAATGCTTTGGTGTAAAGAATTCGGTTTCGACCTCGCATATTAGTGAGAATTGATTTCAAAATATTTATTTAATGGTTAAGTTTTTTTCTTTTTCAATAGTAGTCAAATTTAGGATTTAATATAAAAATTATCTAATTCATTTTAATTGAATATAAGCCTGATTACAAAATTCATTTTTAAAATAAAACTTTTATTTGACGGAATAAAAAAATGTCTTTTTTTTTTCTTGTCAAATTTGGTCATTTCTTAGGGTATTATTCTAATAATTTTATTTTGTTTTGTTTATCTTTAATGGTTTCTAGCCTATGCTTGATTTTTCATTTGAAAAAAAAATGTCATCTTTTCCCCCAAACTTTAGATCTTCTTTATAAATTGATCATGAGTAAAAGATGTTTTTTCAATTAATATTAAACACAAATATATTTGCATATCACTATCAAAATAATATTTTAGCATAAGCAGTTTTCTTTCTTTTGTTAGATTCAAATTAATCAATGCTATGTGTGATAATTTAAAGTTTTGTTAAATAAAGTAATTTAAAACACGCATAATAGCACATTATTTACTAATACTATGTGTAGGATTGATAAAAAAATATGTACAACATTGATATAAAACATATGATAATAATATCAATAAAAGGATATTAGAAAAAAATTATTTTTGGAAAGAATTATAACCACGCTTTTAGAATTAAACTATTTAATGATATAAAATATATGGATGTATAATTAATTATTTGTAAATTAAATATTATGTAATTTTTAGAAAAATAAATCAATTATAAAGTTGCATAAAATATATGCATTTGAAAATTGTTTTCTAGATAGTGACAATTTTTTTTTTATTACTGTTCTTTTTTTCCTTCATTTTATAGCATGTTTGAGTCAAAGCTTATTATGTAATCTTTAGAAATATAATTTTTTTTAATAATGATAATTATTACAATATATTATTTTTCTCCAATTTTTAATAATTTAATTTTTTTTAATATAATAAAAGCTAATATGAAAAAGGAAGATATTAATGAACTTTTTAATAGTTATAGAAATAGAAACTTATTTAAGTATTTAAATTTAAAACTTTTTAATAATTATAGAAATAGAAACTTACATAAGTATTTAATTTCAAATTTTTTTATATAATTTGTTTAAATTATGAATTTAGTCATTTATAGTGCTAATGAATTTTATTTAAAAATATAACTAGTATTTATATAATTGATAAGTTAATATAATTTCGTAAGAAAATATATTTTTTATTATTAGTATCATTAAGTTCAACTAAACTATATAAATTTTGTGTAAGTCATAAAGAAACATATCTTATTTTTATTATTATTTTGATTTTTAAAATATCATTAAAATAATTTTAAATTTATCTTTTATGTCTCAACTATTTTCTATTATAACAACCGGTATTTTTTTTATAATCACCATTAAAATAAAATATTTAATATATTATTTATCAACATGTGATTCAACTTAATTAAAACTTGTTTGAAAGTCTTTTTTTCTTACCTAGGTTATAAAGAATAAATGAAAGCAATTAAGAAAGAAAAGTAGTATATATAAATAATTAGTTTAAGTGAGTCAATAAAAAAAATGATATAATCAGAATAATTTTAAAGTTTTACATGCTAAAAAGAATTTTGTATATAAAAGTTTAACTATTCAAATTTTATTCTCATAAAATTATCATTTCTCTATAACTCATTTTTCTCTCGTTTTCTCTTTACATTTTTCAATCGCTCTTTCGCTTTATTTTTCACTCCATCTTTCAATTTTTTTTCTAGATCCAAACGGACCTCGAGTACTTTTGGAAGAGAGTAAATAATTTCTACCAGATCAGAATTTCAAGTAGAGTAAGTTTCTCCTTTTCAAATTTTAGACCATTTTTTGAACATTTTAAGTTTAGGTTTGCATGTGGGTCCTAAGAGACTTGCATGTAGATTTTGTTGTGAAAAGATTAATTTTGACTAGTTTAGGAATATTGTAGTATGCTCAATTTGTTAATTGGGATTTTCTGTTAGCATGATTCATCTTTCTAAAAATTTAGAAGTTTTTTAAGTTTTCTGACTTTGAGTACTGTATTTGAGGTAATGGAAGTTAGTCATTCTTCAATTTTTATGGTATTCTAAGTTAAAAGACCTGAACTATGAAGGTGACTTGGTCACATTGATTGAATTTCAGGAAATTGGATTGTGTAATATGTGTTGATTTGTGACGATTGTATTAAATGTGAATGTCTAATTGATTTCTATGAGATTGAAAATGATAATCTTTTGTATAAATATATTGACCCATCTCTTATCCTTAATATAACATAACCTCACACCTTAACCTATTCACGTAGAAACCACCAAAATTCCATGTAATAGTTTGAGGGAATCAAGTGGGACATGGAGGCCAAGAAATATGTCCAAAGTAATACATTCATTGAGCTTCCTTACTTAACTAGGACCCAATGTATGTTTTAGCTCATCATCTTTACTAATATGATGGAAGATAAATTTTCATGAGAAATAAATCCTTCTAGTTCATCATAAAAAAAAGTGACATGATTGAAAACATCCCAAAAGTGAGATGATTGAACACATTCTACTAGGATGGTACTCTATCAAAAGCTTATAATTGAATGAGAATATCAATTTCTTATAAAATTTGTAAATCATTTTCCTATGAAACCACCAATAATTATATTGACATCATCTAAAATAGAGATTTTATGTGTCATTAGTAGCTTGTTGATAGTCCATAGGAGAGGGTTTATCCTTTCATCTCTTATCACCCTTAGTTTTATGTCTCTTATATGTTGTTAAATTTTACCCTTTTATGAGTTTCTCAATTTACCACATCAAATTGAAATACTTTTTTTTTTGTATTATGTTCGTATGCATGATGAAACTCATACTATCATTATTAGTGCCTTAGTTGCTTCTCCAATCATCACACTAATTATAATATGGTCTATAACATCAATCATGATTCTTATTTTTAAGGACATCATTCCTTCTAAATTAGATGTTCTTTGAATCATTAGGATAAAGATTCTTCATGAAGAATGAGACCTTCCTTCTTTTTCTTCAATTAACTTCTTAATCATAACTTATTCATACTCAATATGTGATGTAGCTCGAGTCTTATTGTTTCAATGGCTCTCGAATGGACTAGCATGAAGTCCTTTAATGAATGTGTTAACAAATATCACTTCATTTGGTTGCGATATTTTCTCTTTGACACTACAAAAACATCTAAGATACTCTTTTAGAGGTTCTTCGGCATGTTGTCTTATGCAAATAATCTCTTCTATTTTGAAGTTTTAAGTTTGTTAACTATGAATAAAGTAGTAAACATTATTGAGAAGCTTCAAAAGAAGAAATGTTAGGCCGTTAAATTCAATCTAAGGTAGTTCCACCAATTATTCCTACAAAAAACTTCACATCAAATACCATCTAAGGCACCACTAATAAGCTTGATCATGAAACATCTTTAGATGACATATCGAATCTTGATAATAATTGAAAAAATAATTTTTGGCACCATATAATGAACATTGAGTAATTCATAACTTTCATTGGAAAAAGGTTGAATACATTGCTATTTTGCTAGGTTTTAACTCCTTTTCTTATGAAAATGGTGATATACTTCTTCAAAGTTTGTTGTTGTAATTCTTCATTCTTTTATTCGAGTTATAGTACATTTACAACGTCTTTTATACTCTGTCTTAAATCTCCCCTCAGTGTTGCTTGAACTCATTAGACATTATCAACCCTTTGTGTCCCTTCTTCATTTTGTTACTATAAATAATTCATAGTCCACATGATTTGTTAGAGTGTAGGAAGCATTATCTTTGTCCTCATGTGATATCGCATTTCTAGATCCTCTGTCCCCTTGTATTTTTCTCTTCATAACCTTTTAGGTGTAGGAACAATTCTATCTATCTAAGGATGAGTTACAAAATGTTTAAGCCATAGTCTCTAAGTTAGATCTCAAGGCCCTTGACAAAACATTTATGGTTAGTTGTTTCTTCTTAAACTATTATATATATATATATATATATACATTTTAACTTTTTTCTTGGAATCTTTACATGGACCATTTATGTGCTTTTAGTGAGTAATCAATGATCAAATAATTAGTTTATCATTAGTAATTAAGTCATGCCCCCCTCTTTAAAGTTTTTCAACTTACTTATGTATTTATGATTTTATTCCCCTCAAACTTAATGATCATTAAATATATCCTTGCACATTTCCATCTTCTTTTACCTTTTCATATTTATTTATTATTTACTAATAATATATTATTTGATTCCAAAATCAATTATTAAGTTACTGAAGTTAATATATTTTAACTTCAGTTTAGTCAATATATTGAAATTGTTCAAATTGACATATCATTTAAATTTATTTAATATTGGTTGAGATAGTAGCTAACATAATCTCAAAAATTAATTTATTAAAAATCTAAACTCACTTATAAATACTAATAGATAGTGCAGATAAATCAAGTTATGTCACGTCGACTCGAAAAATGACGAGATTAGTAGTTTTAGCTTAGTAACTCGTGTTGGTCCACCTTGCCTAGCCCACCAAATTGGCAGGCCAAGGGTGAGACAAAATGAATTAAACCACTTTAAAAAAATATATTTATATATTAAAATAAAAATAAAAAGGATTATAATTAAAAATATTATATTTTTGTATTATGTTATTGAAATATGGAAATATACTATAATATTATAATTTAATTTATAAAAATTAATCAATTAAGTAAAATGATTGATTATAATTAGTTCTTTTAACACATAATATAATAATGTTTTAGTTCCTCTAATAAAAATACTACTTAATAAATAAAAATTTAAAAATTATTCATATAATTAAATATATATTTTAAAAAATACATATAAAAAAATAATGTTGACATGCTTGGTCAGTTGGCTTGTCAACCCGTCCTTTAGCGGGCATAAGCTGGTGTCTATAACCAGTCCCGATTATGGCGAGTCGATCCGTCTCGTTCCATTTTTTACGAGGTAAAGGCAGGGACAAGCAAAAAATGGGGCAGATTGACTCATTTTGTCATCTCTATTAATAGACATACACTACTAAATACAATTTGAAAATAAATCAAAAGGTTATTTAAAAAGTTATTAGTTTAATAAAAGAATAACTTTTAAACCATAATAATTCAAAAATTAAAATTAGTGAATGCAAAAACAATAATTAAAAACAAAGTTATACCACAAATAAATTATATTTGTAACTTAATGATAAATTAAAAAAAGCGTCAAATAATTTCTAAAATAAAATAATAAAAGGCGAGAAACAAGTAATATATGAATTATTATCTCTACTTATTTTGTATTCATATTTTAAGTTTTTTTATATTAAAATAAAAATATAATAATTTATTTTATTTTAGTGAAATAATTATGGGATTTTATTTTTTATTTTTTAATATTATATTGTAATGTTATATATATATATATATATATATATATATATATATATATATATATATATATATATATATATTGAAGAGTGTAACTCAATCCTTTTAAAACCAATTTAAACAATAAAATTTGTAGTCTATTTATATTCTTTAATTTAATCATATATATGATTAATATGAAATTTCGACATATTTCTTATTAAGGATAAATATTGTAATGCTCTCACGACAATTACATTGAAACATAAGAATAAAATGCTCGGACATAAATATATTCAGTTATTTACATCACATGTTTAAGTATTTTGAGAGAAACACTATCATATTACATAAGGTTTTCTATACATATTTTTAAACAAAATAATTGAAATATAAAGCTTCTTCAATAATTCAATCCTGAGATTGACCACCTGAAATATCATTTGTTCACGTCTAACAATTTGTTCATCACAGTTCAGATCAACACACCACACAAACTAGGGTAAGCTAGTGATAAAATTTTTCATTCATATAATTTTCACAAAATAATTTCAATATTCATATATGAATAAATAAATCAAGTACTACAACTATATAATAAATCAGGTGTTTAATCTTTTAGTCTATAAGTTATATCTCATGTCATCATATACTAACATTCAAAATCATAGATATTTGACTCTATTTCTGAAAGACTCACATGCATTGAATTTAAACTCAGAGATTAACACCTGTCACACTACTTTTCCTAAGTGGATATCTACAACATAGGTACATAATTGGAACATGTTCCCTCATGTGATAAGGTAAATCCCTACAACTTGCTAAATAATGTTCTTTTTTACACCACAAACTAAGTCATAGATATTTCCTTCAACTCTCACTACCTGATACTTTTCTCTATGTGAATCCAACATGAGTAGAGTTAAGATGCCTCCTTTAGAATCTCAAATTCAATACATTACCTACATCTCAACATAGTATTTTCTCCTTGGAAACCATTATGTTAACTTCATCTATTTATCATATATATAACATACATATAAGGGTATCACATGATATTTCTCACATTACAACAATATATTTTTTTATGCATATATTAGCACCCAACGTATTTTATTTCATGTTCAATACATGTATTATAATATCCTAAATCAGGTACATATCATTTCTCGCATTACAACAAAGAATAAATTTTTCGGATTTGACCTCTCGTATATTATTTTTATCATAACTTTTTCTACAAATATAACTTTTGACTAATTTTTGTTTCATTAGATTCCTTATTTCTAGGATTTCAATTTGCATATATAGAACATTAAATTTGAAGGTCGGAGCGTGTGTGTGTGTGTCTATATATATATATATATATTTAAGTACATACAGAAAAATTCTAAGAATTTTGCTTAAATGAAAATCCCCTCGAGAATCATCTTCTTCTCTAGAAAATTTTCGCTTGAGCGAGACTCACCCGAGACAAGCCTTATTATTAGGAGTTTTTCACTTGAGCGAAAATACACCTGAGAGAAATCATTTCTTTTTCTATATATTTCACTTGAGCGACCAGTTATCGCTTGAACGAAATATGCAGATAATAAACCTGCATAACTCTTACTCTATTGCTCAACTTTTTTTAAAATATGTCATATTTAGTCTAAATATAGCTATCATATCCTAACATTTTACATATATCATTATTCTAAGTCAACTCATCCAATCACAATTTAAAATACCACACAAACAAATCAAATTCCTACAAATCAAACAATGTAATCAAGTAATTTTTACAATCCAGATCTTTTAATATACAGTACCATGAAAATCAAATAATAACTAGTTTCCTTACCTTTCAAATTTCAGTGTTCTCAAGCTTGAAAGCCTCAAATCCCCAATTTCTTAGTGAGTCAGATCCTGCTTGTTAAGTGATGAAATTTACTTATAATACGAGTTTTTAAGAAACACTTAACAACATTTTGACCTTAATTTTTGTTAGGAATTTCCCCAATTTAGAATAAATTACTTATAATCTTTTTGTGTAGGATTAGGTACAGAAATTGAAAAGAAGAAGATGAAGAAAAAGGAAACCAATCAACTACTGGAAAAGATATTAGAAGAGTAGAAAAATTTGACTAAGCAACGAAACAGGACAACATGGCAGGGGAACTCTCGCTCAAGCTAGACATACCTCGCTTGAGCTAGAAAAGTTACAACTCATGCTCGTTCTTGGGTTGAATTTTGCTCAAACGAGACATACCTCACTTGAGCAAGACATGCTGTAACATTTGGTGTCTCTCGGGCTCAATGTCGCTAAAGTGAGACATTACTCGCTTGAGCGAGACATGCTGCAACTCTCAGTGGCTCTCAGGCTGAATATCGCTCAAGCGAGGGGACTCTAGCTTGAGTGAAACTAGGTTAAAGTTTCTTTCTCGTTTGAGCGAGGAGTGGTAGCTTGAGCGAGAAATCATTAAAACATAAAACATATAAATAGCATAATAATGTTTTGAGTGGCGACTGTGTGGGAGAGATTGGAGAATAGGGTTTAAGAGACTAAAAAGGAGAGGAAGAAGGCTCAAGATCTACCCCTAGGCTTCTAACTCTAGTTTGTATCTATTTCCAGCATGAGTAGTTAAGTTTATCCTGTATTGAGATTGAATGTAACTTATTAACTTCTTCTGTACTTCTCTTGACTTACATATATATGAAATTTTGCTATTCAAGGTTAATGATTTGATTTTATGCTTAAAGCTAAGGTGACTTGATCAACCATCTTTTGATTTTTGATTTGGGTTTATGTTGGAAAATTGAACTTGGATATCTTAAATAAAATCATCTAATAATGTTATATGCTAGGAATATATATGATATTATTAGTTGATATAATCATGGGCTTAATGCAAAAATCTTATTTAAATGATTCAAGGGATTGATTGTTACAATAGGATTTTTAGAAACTCTAAAGCAAAGGATTACTTAAAGGAAATTTTAGGACTCAATAGCACTGGGCTGGAAAATTAAATATGTGAGTAAGAAGAAGACAAAAGAAGGAGATAAGTGAAAGTCATTCTCAATACATGTATTTGATATTGTAGTTTCACCAAGTAGTTTTCTGCTTTGACTAAAACTTTCACAATTAATTTATCAAACATGTCCAAATTTCTTATTTAATTGCAAGTTAAACTTGAATTTATAAATATTATTGAATACATCACAAGTCTCTGAGAATACGACACTTTTTTATACTACAACCACCCAGTATGCTTGCTGGTAAAAGAAAAATTATTAACAAGTTTCTGGCGTCGTTATCGGGGACTTGTGTCAAGATATTTAGTAATCTTATTGATTTATCTTAAAATTGCATGTAAAAAAGTGTATATATTTCAGCTTTAGTTTTGATAGTTAATTAATTCTTTTTACGCTAACCTTTTTATTTTTTTTAGCTTTCTTCTTGTATGCGAGGTGGAGGTCAAACAAAGGATTTACTTTTTGACCCTAAGATTGAGAAAACAGCCAGGAGAAATAACAGTAGAATTAGGAAACAAAAGGAGTTGAACAAAGAAAGGCAGCAACAAGAAGACACATATATTCCAATTCTGCGGGAACAACTAGAGCAGATGGTTGATCCTGGAGGTGTTGTTACGAATGGAGATATCGGAGGTGAAGGACACAACTACAACAATCAAAGAAGACTTTTGGGATAGTATGTGCATCAATTGGGACCAAGACACTTCTCCAGCATAGTCAAGCCAACAAAAGGAGTTAAAATGAAGCCTGCTCTACTTTCACTCATAACCTCCAATCAATTTGCAGGGATGGAGCATGAAGATCCATATAATCACTAATCCACCTTTTATGAGCTATGTGGTACCATGGGAGTGCCAGGAGAGGATGAAGAAGCAGTCTACCTCAGATTATTTCCCTTTTCTTTGACTGGAAAGGCTAGAACATGGTTGCAGTCCCACCCAAATCAAAGCCTAACTAGGTGGGAGGATGTAGAGAGGAAATTCTTGACCAGATTCTTCCTCCCTTTTAGATACATTAGTGCAAAGTCAGCTATTATAACCTTTTCTCAAGCTATTGATGAACCCCTATGTGAAGCATGGGATGAAGCACTTGGTGGATTTGATGAAGACATAGATATAGCTTAGGTTGTGGGTGTGTAGATGATTAGGTTTTTAGTTTAAGCACTTAATCTCTTGATAGTCCATTATATTTTGTGATAAGCGCCTTATAATGTTGCATCCCATTGAAAATCATTTTTCTGCATGAAAAACTAACATCTAAGTATTAAAAGAACAAACTAAGTTTTTCAATCTGTTGAAAAGGATTTTCAATCTGTTAAAATCACTCAACATAATAAGTGGTCATACATAGTCGTATTTTCAATTGATTGATTCGCGGAATCAACAAGTTAAAATAACTCAATGAATTTTTCAATATCAAAGTTTCGCATTTTCAATCTATTGAAATGATTTTTAATCTGTTGAAACAGAAAGACTATTTTTTCAGTCTAAGAGTTTTTCAGAAAATCAATCTGTTGAAATAATTTTTAATCTGTTAAAACAGAGAGGCTATTTTATTAACTAAGTGTTTGCAGGATTTCAATCTGTTGAAATAATTTTCAATCGATTGAAACAGAGAGCTGTCATTTTTCATAAAGTTGTTTCAATCCATTAAAAACTCGAATCAATCGATTGAATGGAGCTTTAAATGAAATCAATCGATTGAATCGATGTTTTAATCGATTGAAATGTATTCTGATCGATCATAGTTTCATTCTGATCGATCATAACTCGGTCTGATCGATCATGTATATGTGGAACTTGACTGGTTGGTCAAGAACTGGATGTAGCTCTGGATTAGAGTGAACCAGTATAAATTTGTGTGTTAAAATTCTTCTTTCATCTCTTTTATTTTCTGTCTATAAACTTGTTGTGTTTAAACCAAATTACCTTTGCAAAGATTGAATAAAGATAACCCATTCTTCCAAAAGAAAGTAAGTTTTGCGAAAAAGTTTTAAAAGTTCAATTCACCCCCCCTCTTGAACTCAACCATTAATTCTTTCAATTGGTACCAGAGCTGGTTCTTGTAAGTTACTCAAGAAATCGGTCCAATGGCTGAGGGAAAGATGACTTTTTCGAAGGAGCCTCCATAAACGAGGCCTCCACTTTTTTACGGTGTGAATTATTCTTTCCGGAAGGTTAGAATGAAAATCTTTATTGAATCTCTTGATAGAGGCATTTGGGATACAATTGTTAATGGTCCTTACAAACCAACTCATACAGTAGATGGTAAAGTAGTTGAAAAAGATTGGACTAAATTAACTGATGTAGAAAATAGGAGAGTCCAATATGATTATACTGCAAAAAATATTATTACCTCTGCTTTAAATCTTGATGAGTTTTTCGGGGTGTCTCGAGTGTGCCTCTGCCAAAGAGATGTGGGAAATTTTAGAAGTCACACATGAAGGAACATCTGATGTGAAAAGGGCAAGAAAGCATGAGTTAATCGGGGACTATGAGTTGTTTAAAATGCAGCAAGGAGAAACAGATTGCGGATGTGCGAGAAAAGGTTCACGCACATAGTCAATCATCTAATTGGGTTAGGAAAGATTTTTGACAAAGAAGAGTTGAACATCAAAATCTTAAAGTGTTTGGACAGAATGTGGCAACCAAAGGTGACGGCTATATCGGAATCAAGAGACTTGATCTGAAATGACTACCGCTTCACTTTTTGGTAAGTTAAGGGAACATGAGTTGGAAATCAATCGGTTCAAAGAACAAGAGAATGCGAGAAAAGAAAAGTAGAAATATTGTTCTCAAGACGATTGAAGAAAACAGTGGATCTGAAGAAGATGAATCGAGAGAACCTGACTTTGTTGGTTAAGAAATTTGGGAAATTTCTTAGAAGAAAGAACAGAAGCTGGCCAAGTAAAAAGGTACAATGATAAAAAGACTGAATCTGTTCAAAATACTATTACTTGTTATTCTTGTGGTAAACGGGGTCACATAAAGAGTGATTGTCCGGAAAAGACCAAGAATCAGAACAAGAAAGAATCAAGATACAAAGGGAAAAAGGCCTATATAGCCTGGCAAGACAATGATTCATCTTCCGACTCACGAATCCGAAAGTGAAGAGGTGAACCTGTGTTTGATGGTCAGTCGTGAATCCTCTTCATCACATGTAAGTTCAACTCCTACGAGAGAATGAAATGAATTACAGACACATTACTAAATGCTTTCAATGAAATGCATAGTGAAGCCAGAAATTTATCTCATACAAATAATCGGTTGAAAGGTTTAAATAACTGGTTAGAAAATAGAGTTAAAGTTCTGGAAAAAGAACTATTAGAAAGCAAAACAGATTTAGAACATCTAGATATTATCTATTCATCTGCGGATAGTGTTCTTGTTAATAAGAATTGTGAAAAATGTATTGTTTTACAAAATAAGGTTGATTACTTGACTAAAACCTTGACAAAATTTACTCAAGGTAAAGAGAATTTAGATGCACTTCTTGGGTCTCAAAGCTGTGTGTTTGAACATTCACGGTATCGGGTACAAACCTAAGAATGGGGTAAAAATAAAAAAATATTTGAACTTCTTTTCATACAGAAAAACAACGGCATCCCCTTTCTCATCTTGTCATTACTGCATGAAGAAAGGACATACTATAAAATTACGTCATGCTAGAAAATATTTTGTGCTTGCAAGGTAGGAAGAGATGGGTTCCAAAACATGTTAACGAGAAAATTTGACTCCTAAGGACCCAAAATACGTAAGGGTACCAAATACTTGATGTTTGATCTTTCAGGAACAGCAACAAGAGTCCCTTTGGTACCTAGACAGCGGATGCTCAAGGCACATGACAGGTGACATTTCAAAATTCCAGAAAGTTTGAAATTGAAGAATGGAGGTCATGTGACTTATGGAGACAACAACAAGGGAAGAATTCTAGGTTACGGTGATATTGGTGATGGTGAATCGGTAATCATTCACAATGTTCTTCTTGTTGAAGGTCTCAAGCACAATCTGATAAGCATAAGTCGGTTATGTGATCTTGGTCACAAAGTCATTTTCAAACCAGAAAAGTGCCTTATCTGTGAGCCAGAATCTAACTCGGTAATGTTGGTAGGTAAGAGGTTAAACAACATATACATGTTAGATATCAAGCAATCTATATCATCTCAAAGTTGTCTTCTTACTAAAGAAGAAGAATCTTGGTTGTGGCATAGAAGGCTTACTCATATACACCTTAACCATCTTGACAAACTGATTTCAAAAGAATTAGTTTCTGGGCTGCCTAAGCTTCAAATCTTGAAAGACAAAATTTGTGAAGCTTGTTTGAAAGGCAAACAAACTAGAAAATCTTTTTCAAACAAAAACATTGTTTCAACTTCTAAACCTTTGGAACTGATTCACATGGATTTGGTTGGTCCTTCAAGGAACAAAAGCCTAGGTGGTAATCTTTATATCATGGTAATTGTTGATGATTTCTCCAGATTTACCTGGACCATTTTTCTTAAAACCAAATCTGATTCTTATAAATCTTTCAAAAAGCTTGCCAAGGTTTTACATAATGAAAAAGGGTATTTCATTACATCTATTCAAAGTGACAATGGTGGAGAATTTGTAAACGAAAAGTTTGAATCATTTTGTGAAAAGTTTGGCATAAAACACAATTTTTCTGCTCCAAGAACTCCTCAACAGAATGGTGTTGTGGAAAGAAAGAACAGATCCATTGTGGAACTTGCTAGAACAATGCTTGTGTGAAAATTCTTTACCAAAATACTTTTGGGCGAGATGCGATCAACACTTGCTTGTCATGTTTTGAATAGAGTCTTGATTAGACCCATGCTCAAGAAAACCCCATATGAAGCTGTACAAAGGAAGAAAACCCAACATAAACTATTTCGGGGTTTTTGGATGTACATGTTTTGTTTTAAACAATGGGAAAGAAAATATTGGCAAGTTTGATGAAAAATCGATAAAGGAATTTTTCTTGGTTACTCAACTCACGGCCATGCATATAGAGTTTACAATTTAAGATTGAGATCGGTTGAAGAATCGGTACATGTTGTGTTTAATGAGTCTCCTCGAGTGGTGCGAGAATAGAACAACGAGTGCTGCGAGATGAAGAAGATTTAGCGATAATTCTTATCGGTTGAAACATGCCAAAAACACGGATCGATGTACTTGTTGAAGAAGATGATCCATCGGTGGACCACTGCAAAGGCTGACTCACCAACATTCGCTGAAGAACGGGAAGAAGATGTTACGGAAGAGCTTCCTAAAGAGTGGATTGTCCCAAGAGATCTCTCTCTAGACAATGTCATCGGGCAAATCAATAAGGGAGTATCTACTAGACATTCTCTTAACCAATTCCGTAATCATATGGCATTCATTTCACAAATAGAGCCTAAGACAGTTAAAGAAGCATTAAATGATGAATCTTGGGTTAGTGTCATGCATGATGAGCTTAATCAATTTGAAAGAAATAACGTGTGGGAATTAGTTCCTAAAATCAAAGATATCAACATAATTGGTACTAAGTGGGTATTCAAAAACAAGCTAGATGAACACGACATTATTACTAGAAATAAAGCTAGGTTGGTAGCCAAAGGGTATAACCAACAAGAGGGTATCGATTTTGATGAAACCTTTGCACTGTAGCTAGACTTGAAGTCTGTCAGATTATTATT